CACCCAGTGACAAGACAGCGCTGCAGTGTGTCATGGAAGTAGACACGGAGCGTATTGTACTGGAAAAGGAGGCGGAGAGGCTGGCCCACGAGGACTGTAAGCATCTGCTTTCCCTGAAGATCATTTAGTGGTGCTGGGATTGATGTGCTGCTATTTAACCAAAAACATTACTTTATTTTGTTTCATAGGTAATGGGGGTGGGGGGGAAACAGCATTTATCGTGATATATTCACATAAAATTCATGGCGAGTTATCTTTTTATGCCTGGACAAAAACAGAATTAACCTTCCTTGGGTTTGTGTTCCAATAGCCGAAAGTGAAAAGCTGATGGAAATCTATGAGCGACTGGAAGAGCTGGATGCATCCAAGGCCGAGATGAGGGCAGCACGCATCCTGCATGGCCTTGGATTCTCTCCTGCCATGCAGCGCAAGAAAATGAAAGACTTCAGTGGTGGCTGGAGAATGAGAGTTGCCTTGTCGAGGTAAAACACAATTCACACTTTTTGCACAGTTTTGTCATTTTATGTAGATCATGTAAAATGTATGCTGTGGTATCAAGCACATCAGGTTTAATAGTTGAGCTTGTTTTGTATTTTAATTTCCTGACCATTGTGTTCTCTGTTTACAGGGCCTTGTTCATTCGGCCATTCATGCTGCTTCTCGATGAACCCACCAACCATCTGGACTTGGATGCATGTGTGTGGCTGGAAGAGGAGCTGAAAACGTGCGTGCACATTTTCTTAAAGCCTACTTAACACTTGAGTAAAACATCTGAGATGTAACAACACTTCATACTGGCTGGTTCAGTCATCACCATTTAATGTTTGTCAAGTTATGAGTGTGGGGTATTTATGCATTGTTATATTTACTTTCTGTTCAATGTTGCCAAGATTGTGCACTTTGTCAATATGGGCATGTGAAAGTAATGTCAAATTCAGCTGATTGTTTTTTTCTGTAGGTTCAAGCGTATTCTGATCGTCATTTCTCACTCACAAGACTTTCTCAATGGCGTTTGTACAAACATCATCCACTTGCACAACCGAAAACTGAAGGTTTTCACGGTACGATTTCAAATATAAAGATGTTCTTAATAATTACATCTGCTGTTCTTTGAGTGGTAAAAAGTTAAGCATATAGGGGTACGATATTTTTGTTAAAAGTATGCTTTTTTCAGGGGAACTACGATCAATACGTGAAAACCAGACTGGAGTTGGAGGACCATCAGATGAAGAAATTCAACTGGGAGCAAGATCAGATTGCACATATGAAGGTTATTTCCCCATATTTATTGTTTTAAAACCTGGCATTGTTAACAGTTATTTTAATGTCGGATACATCTACATATGGCATCTGTGTGTAATTGTGAAGAAAAAGCAATTTTAGATTTAAATTGATATTTGTATTTTTTAAACCCATTACATTTATTGTCTGGGTTTTATTTCTTGCACAGAACTACATAGCACGGTTTGGTCATGGCAGTGCCAAACTAGCTCGACAGGCCCAGAGCAAGGAAAAGACCCTGCAAAAGATGGTGTCTTCAGGATTAACGGAGCGCATCGTCAATGACAAGGTTTGTAATGAAAATTAATATTTTTACTGAAATAAAAACTTCCAGTCAAAAATGTTTCACAAATTACCAATATGTTTTGGTCTTTATATCTTCTAATAATGAAGTGTTATTTTTTTTGCGTTTCTTCTTTTCTATAGACGCTGTCTTTCTTTTTCCCGGCATGTGGCAAGATTCCTCCACCAGTCATCATGGTGCAGCACGTCAGCTTTAAGTACACTGACGATGGGGTAGGTACCTTGTACATTACCTCCAAGAAAAGTGTCTTAAAAATTGGGTGGACAGCTTGCCAATGAATGATGAACTAAAAGGCCGAATTCCAGCACTCTTAAAATGACAACAGGTTTCTCTTGCTTGGAGTGCGATGAAAAAAATACCTTGAAGCGAAATTCAAACTGACCTTGGCATGGAGTGCAATTCAATTTTAACAAGACTGATGAAGAACTGTATTAATCTCGATGTTATGTACTTACACAGCCATTGATCTACAAAGCCCTTGAGTTTGGAATTGACCTGGATTCTCGAGTTGCACTTGTGGGACCCAATGGTGCTGGAAAGTCAACTCTACTCAAGCTTTTGGCTGGAGAGGTGAGAATTCTTTGCATGTGTTTTTTGGCATTTGTAATGCTACGTGTTAATTAATATTACGTAACATGGAATTTATACTTGTTTTGTTCTTTAGCTTCTTCCTACAGATGGCATGATCAGAAAGCACTCTCATGTGAAGATTGGACGATATCACCAGGTAGGCTTATAGATTTATTTTTTATACAAGTGGTAGTTGTGATTATTAGTGCTCTTGGTCATTGATTTTTGCTCAGTTTCTTGGAATCCTACAATAATTTGTTAAACCTGCATTCTTTGATGTTGCGCAGCATCTGACAGAGCAACTGGATCTTGACTTATCCCCTCTGGACTACATGATGAAGTGCTACCCAGACGTGAAAGAAAAAGAGGAGATGAGGAAGATAATTGGCCGTTACGGGTTGACAGGAAAACAGCAAGTAAGTAAATTACAGCACTGAAGCTCCCTGCCAAACTTGGTTTGTGTAAGTTATGAAATTGGTATGTGTATTTATATATTTCTAACTGTTTGACTATGTATTATGCAGGTCAGTCCAATCCGGAGCCTTTCGGATGGTCAAAAGTGCCGCGTGTGCTTTGCTTGGCTGGCTTGGCAAACGCCACACATGCTCTTCCTTGACGAGCCTACCAACCATCTGGACATGGAGACTATCGACGCACTGGCAGAAGCCATCAATGAGTTTGAAGGTGGAATGATGCTGGTTAGCCATGACTTCCGTCTCATCCAGCAGGTAATGCAAAAATCGGTGTTTTCATAGCAGGCTTTCGTTTAGGATTATGAATGCAGCTGATTGGACTAAAAGTGGATTGTCATCGTGGGAGAGGCTCCCTTTTTACGCAATAATTGTTACAATGTGGTTAAACCTGTAGCTTTGCATTCATTCCATCTCTTTAAAGTCTACCACTTGTTAACTTGGATAAAGGTGTTTTAAATGAAATAATGTTAATCTCTAAGAACTAGAAATAGATGTATATGAAAAAAACATCCCCTTCCAAGTAATGTCATACAAACATCCACGTTGTTGGTTTTCTACTTAATATTATGCTTTTCGCGTGCATGTTTTCACATTGCAAAGGGTAAACCAAACCATTAATACATTGGGGACATGAGTGAAAATTTTGGGTGGATGATTAGTGGGTTACAAAATTCTAACTTGCAAATCTTTTGTTACAGGTTGCTCAAGAGATTTGGGTGTGTGAACATGCAACAATCACCAAGTGGAAAGGAGGCATTCAGGCTTATAAGGAGCACCTGAAGAACAAGGTTGTGGACCATGATCCCAACCTCACCAAGTCTGTTGACATGTGATAAGCTTCTGCAGTGCCAAGGCATGCAAAGCTTGTACTGTGCTGCCTTCAGCTGAATTACCTTCAACCGTAACTTAACCAGAAGAAATCTCTGCACCACCTGTCATTTTCACCAAAAGTGAAAGATACGCTTGCCGTTGGCCCTCTGGCCAAACATCCGATTATCAAAAGTAGAAACGTTGAACTCCACATTATAGATTGTGCCAGATATCTTGAGTGCCCAAAGCCGCCTACATTAGTGCATGAAGCTCCTGCACTGTGCCCTGCATAGCTGCTTTTTAAAAAAGCTGCAATACATTAGGACTCTTTGTTATCATAAGTCACTGTTTTGTTATATTTTACCGTTATGTAAATACATTAATTATATATCTTATGTGCTTGACTGAGGCTGTATACTAGCCTTTTGGCGGCCTATAAAATGAATGACTTCGATTGATAACTTAATCACGAAATGCCACGTTATGAACAATTTAATTTTCCCCACCAATATTTAAGTTAGCAGCAAAATATGTCTGTGAGGCTGTACAATTGGTCTTGCAGACTGCCCTACCAATGTTTGTGGTATCAACTCCTTATAATAGTCAATGCCGAGTGAGGACCCTGCTGATGTCATCAGCTTGGCTCGTGTTTTGCACAGGCTCACCATTTGCAGTATTTCAAGAAATATGACCAGTGCAGGAGAACCTATTGCTCTCCAATTATTTTCACACTTAATATATTTACTAAGGATGAAAAACTTTTTCAGAATGAAATGGTGAAGTATGACTTGTGTACAGCCCACTGTTGTGTATACGATGTAATAAAATAAAGTAGTAGAAACACCTTGAAATTTTGGCAATCTGTTTACTGCGCGGTTTTATACTACACTAGCTTTACTACCCGACTTTGCACGGGACTTGGATTCACCACGCCTGGCCGCCTTTGTCTCCCCAGTGATGTTCACACCAGTTACTCGTTTCAGGCTGAGTCGAACTAGGGGAGGCCCAGGACCGGTTGAAATAATCGTCACCGGTGGCGACTGAGTGGGAATCGAACTCGGGTCGCCAAGGTTCGTAGCGCAGTGTGCTAAGCACTGCATGTGTGGGTGACATGACAGATGTGACATCACAGCTCACTGCCGTGCAAAAAATATGCATTATTGCGCCGCCCCCCCCCCCCCCAATTTTTTTTACCAGTCTTATAATTTTTGCATGGTGTACAGTCTGGAAAGAACCCACATGGCAAATTTCAAGTTTGTTGCATGTCAGGAAGTATGCTAAACATTTAGAACAGACACATTCACAAATTTCCCTTATATAGATTGCACTGTAAAATGATGCCAGCTTTAAGGGACTTCTGCAGCTGTGGCATTTGTAATTTCAAATAGGTTAATTGTTCATAAGGCACTTTGAAATGCAGGAGCAAAGTAGTCAAAGTAGGAACTCACGAGTTTGATTATCTTAGCTTGAGATTTAATGCAGTAATTGCTTCTGTTGCACCAAATTGAAGTCCTTGTGTAGACGATGCTTATTTTAAAAAAAATTCTTAAAGCAGACATAGCTGAACTCATTTAACGTTTAATATCAAAACAATTTGCACAAAGATGTACCCTTTTAACCCAAGGTTGGTTTTTGGCATGTTGATTTGTAAATCATGCAGTCGTGTTATTAAAACGGTGTTAAATGTATACAAATGTTTTTATTCATAATGCACCTATTGCCAAGTATCACCAGTGTATGTGACTTGACCTGTACATTTTGAAAGTCCTTTGCAATAGTGTAGCCACTTATGGTTTGGTTCACCTGGCTGACCTGGAATGGTGCAGGACTTTACCAATACATATTGCTCTGCTGTACATTGGACAGTCTTCAAAGACCCCAAAGTAGGCCACTGTTTCGTAACCCGAACCTTGAAAGTTTTAGATGAATCGTGGTCCTCATGGTTATTCACGTTTCCCATGCAAAGGCATTTACGTAACCTGGCTAAACTGGTGAGTATTCATCTTCAGATTGACTGCTCAAAGGTTGTACGCAGAGAGCAGTGGAAGACGGTAACGTGGAGGAACAAATTGCATCAGACCCGTGGACAGAACATGTATCGATTCTTCAGAAGGTGCTCTGATGGTACTTCACACTGGAAAGCCATTCTTCTGGAGGAGTCCTTGTCAAAATAACAGCTAAAATGCAGCTATGTATGAAGGAGTCTGGTGGTGGTGGCAGCTAGCTTTTTCCTTTGAAGGAGTCCTTGCGATGCCGCAGATCCTCCAGCACGTGTGCATGGAAAGCACTCTCCTCGGTTCCTGCAGGCTGAACAAGGCCCAGCACAGCCTGCAATGCCGTGGATCGTGTGCGTAGAAAAGGGTTGTACTGCTTCTCTTCCCCGATGCTTGATGGGCACTGGTGACAGGCACATCACTCTTTTTTAACAATTGGACGAATCCCAACATTTACCAGTTCATGTATCTCAAAGCAAGATTTGCTTATTTTTATAGTGTTTCAGAAATATGTAATACTAAAAATATATTTTCTAAAGATACTCGGATGCATTGTTTTAACAAAAGTTCCGTACACTTCAGCAGATACAATAAAAATTGCAATATTTAATGAAAACTACCCTAAAGACACCATATTTTGAAATGGAATTTTGGTGATTATCAGTGCCAGTCGCAACCTCCAGAACTGGAGATGGCATTACAGGAATGTGTGGAGCTTTGAGCAAGTGGGAGTTCACCAGATACTCCAGTTTCCTTTCACATCCGAACACTTTTATAAAATTTGCAAAACATCCTAATGCAGGACCCTCCTAAAAATAGAAATTCAGCGATGCTTTCATAGGTAAATTAAGGAAAATATTGAAAACGGCACTGCCGTGAAATCTCTAAATGTCACGTGTGAAGCATCTCACCGTAGACAGCTTCTCTCGTCGCTGTTGCGCAACCCAGTCCAGCTTCAGCAGGATGGCTGGATTATCAGGCTCCATCTCAACCGCAAAGCTGAGGTTGTCAAGTGCACACTCATGGCCTGCTCTCCAGGAACACAACATTCATGGTGTACGTTGGATTTACACTTCAACATCACAATTGGCCTTCTCTAAAATATATAACATCAATATATTGTGTTGTATAAGATCCACAATCAAATCGTGTGGAAAGCTATTTTATCTCTCCAGTATCTTATTGCCTAAATATTTTTTTGTAAAATAACAAGCTCAATGATTAAAGTTGTAAAGAAATAAACATCAAATTGGTAAGAATAATTTCATTACTAATCGACCACATGATTATATGATAACAGGGTATTTTGTGTGATCAGCAAATAAGTTTACAGCTACTAATTTTAGTAATGGCGACAAAGACTTACGGCAGACTTTAGATAAGTGCAATGGAGCTGAAGAACTTTAAAGTATGTTTTTATTGGTACTGGATGTACGGTTCCGTAAACTGCTATAAAATGCTAATTGCTTTTAGATATGGGAAACTGGTAACGCGATAAGTCATCGTGAAATTTCATATAGGATCATATCGCATTGTGATCAATTATATCATGGAAACCCTATTTACTTTGAAATGGAATCATCCGATGCCCAATGTACCTGGAAATAGCAGTGTGCTGTCTGCCAGACTGCTTACAATGTCTAGCGATGACAACATCGTCTCCGGTGTTCCTTCAAACATTCTGCCTGGTGAAATAACAAATACAGTAAAATTACAAAAAAAATCAAGTTACACTATAACATAAAGCAGCAGTGGAATTACTATAAATGGTGGTAAATAAAATGTTGGCGATGTCACGATCCTACCACAGCCAGCGAGAAAAAGTAGGTCTCCAGAGAAGAGGCAGTCAGGTGCACCAAAGGGTTGGCCATCCAACACGTAAACCATGTGCCCCACCGTGTGGCCTGGGGTGAATCGGGCACGGAAACAGAGCCGTCCAAACCGCAGCTCCTCTCCGTCAGCCACGGGGCTGCAGTCCATACAGTTGATCCCACTTACACCAGTGCACATATGGGCTTACTACAAATACCACGGTGTATCGCAATGCTACTTTTGTATACGAGTACATTGGTGTTTCTTTAAATAACGCAAACAGTTTCTTTTTCAAATTACTTTAAAATATTATATTGTGATGCAAAAGATGATTAATATTAATTTCCTGTGGAGCCTGGTGCCACTTGAATAAAGGATTCATGATCGTTAAAAAAAACAGTTAGTGTTGTGATGGGTCAGAGGAGCAATGATATTAAAGGAATAACACGATAAATTTTAAAAACGTCAAAAAGGAACGGTGGTAAATGTCAGTATCCATGAAAGCATAAATATTAAAAATTATTTTCTATACCCTTTTAGTCTCTATACTTATGACTGAACAGGTATACTTTTACATCATCAAATATTCCATTACACACAAAAATAATATTCCACCATTCAAAGTGATAATTCGGATGACCCTACGTGCAGCCAATCTCATAAGATCTGACAACTTGAGCGTGAGTTTGCAACAACTCCTATAATTTGCGGTGGTGGTGATCCTAAAATGTGATTTTTCCGCAGATTGTTGGAGCTCTCCCATAAACTATGGTGCACTGTGGAGATGCAAAGACAAACAACGATGCAGAGAGACAAATGGACATGCAGACGAAATGGAGGCAGATTTTTTTGGTGTATATCACAGACTGCTAACGATATTTGTTGAGTAGTTAGTATTTTTGCATGGGTTAGACTTGAAAATTAAGTCTTTTATGCAAAAACATTTAACATGGGTTTCAGGAGAAACAGTGAAACTCCAATATTTTTTTGTGAATTATTGAAGTTTATATTCACATGCAATACTTATGCAATCCACATTTTCGCCACATTAACAGAGTTGCGCACCTATAAACCCCTAAAATCCATGATACACCGCCATGGCGCAAATATTTTTGCCTCAAATTATTGGATTTTCTACAGCGTACTGCAGACTATAGGATCCATGGCTAGGCCTTGCCATGAATTAATCGAACTCTGCTGCACTTGGATGGGAGATTACCTAGAATTACCAACTTTAGGGTTGGCCTGCAAGGTGGTCACGTAATGAGTTGGATTCATTTGGCTATTCCTGCTTCTTTGCACATGTTAAACACCAATTAGCCACAATTGTATTGTGACTTGTCTTTAATTTTCCATTCATTAAAGCAATGTGCCCATCGGCCCATTGATGTTCTTATGTGGTTAATTGTACACCAGTGTCTTTGAGGAATGTTAAAGCCGCGAGGGGGGGGTGCGATGTTTGTGTCTCGAATGAGGTGTTTATTCTGGACATTCGCGTTGTTCCAATATGTTTGCCAAGAAGATGAATCCCTTGTAGTTTGCATGTCTCTGTGGATATTTGGTAGCAGATATTGTACAGTAGTTTAAATGTTCTCAGCAGCTGGATTTGACTTAATGCATCATGTCCCATATATGTACGTTACCACTGTTTTGTCAATCCAATGCTGGATGAGGGCCTCCCCATGCCATATGCCCCGTGGATTTATATTAACACACTTGACCACATTGGTCAGTGGGGTTGACGAAGGTGGAAAGCATAGATTTTTATTGCACTTCTATCTGCTGACAATGTAGCCTTGCAGCAGCTACAACACCTGTTTTATGCATAGTGATTGCCCTTCAGAAGACTGTTCAGGCTAAAACCTGTTTCACTCCTGATCTCTGACAAGATTGGGTGCATTACGGGGGAGTTTTTTTTTGTGATTAGCTGAAATGGATGGAGTTGCATTGCACTCAGAACGATTGCAAGTGAATCCTTGATGAATGTTGCAATGTGCGTTTTTTTACAAATATGAAATAACATACTTAGTTAATCCTGGAATGTTGTCATGTGGGCAACCATATACAGGACACTTGTAAATTTTCTTTAAAACCTGATTTCCTCCACTGTGGTCCCTTGAAAGAAAACATAGGAACAAAATGCAGTATTTAATGCAAGATTTATAACAGTAATGATTATATCTCAACTGCCCAATAACACCGTCATCCAAACATTAGTCTGCAGGTTGCCCAAGGCAAAATAAACTCTCATCCACCTTCCTTCCATGTGTATTATTTCTGCAGAAAATTATTTTCAATATAAAACTGATTATTGGATATCTAATCTAGCAATGTAAAAACCACATTCATAGTGTTTTATCATGATATCGACTTCACTAGTGTCAAATACATTTCTAATTGCTTCTCCTTGACATTTTAAGAAATGAATAACTTTTTTCTGTTTTGACAGCGGAGTTGAATTTCTTTGCCATTTCAAAGTTATGGCTTTTCAGTTTGAGTGCAAGGCCGCATCTCTCATGTCCCAATTCTTACCAGTGTTTGTGAGTGGCCAAGATAGCCTCGAGAGTGACACCTTCTTGTTCTATACAAACCTGTAAAAAAAAATGTATCGTTTGAATATATATGCACGAATGCATGCATAAAAGCATACCTGGTAATAAATGGGATGGCTGTCCAGGTTGTACTGCATGTTGTTCAGGACAATGTCCCACGTTTCACTCCACGTATTGCGTGCTTTTTCAGAAAATCATAACAAGGGGAACTAATTCCTGAAGAAGCTCCCAGCACATGGAGCGAAACGTCAGACATCATGTCAAATAACACACGGTACAACACATAACCATCGGAGAGCTATACAGCACAACTGCCAAAATCTACACACGAGTGCATGGGAAGGTGATTACAGACCTCGATGGCTTGCGGGTCAGAAGCGTCCAATACGACTGCAGTCCGAGACTCCAGGTCTGTCACCATATATCCGTAATTATCCGTCATAATGGGCACGGGGCTGATCATCAGGCCTGTTCAATTACACAGAGAGTTAGATACACGTATTAAACAGCCATGCAACATGAGTAAAGTTCACTGAGAATATTTGAAAAAAAATTTACTTAAATTACTGTAAACATTGTATCCATTAAAAACAAATCAAAGTGTACAATTACATGTTTTAAAATATATGTTTTAATGAGTTACATATCGAAGACGTGATAACACATCAGAATTACAATTTTCAATTTTAACAGCAAGAGTACTTTAAAAGGTGTGTGCAATGATAGGGTAAACGCACCATGATAGATGACTGGCTTTACAGTTGAATGTCCCCCAGGGAAATGTTCCCTTGCCTGCTTCAATTGGCGCTTGTGATAAACATACCCCAACTTCGTCTTGGTATACAGCGTGTACCTGGTGGGTCAGCAATCGATATGGACATGGCAAATTAATGTGCAGGGACAAGTGGTTGACGCTGGGAAATGGAACAGCGACCAGATCTATCTATGAGTCCGGGTCAGCCACACAACAATAATACATTAGTAGGTCTCAGCTTCGGAGGGGGGCCATAGTAGCACATCTATGGGGCTTCCTTTAGTTCACAGCGAATGATCCCAGTGTCTAAACTGAAACCACGTCCCGCCACACCCAATAGGGCCCTATTGATCCAACCGGAGTGTCAAAAGGCCCATGTGAATCACAAGTTGAAAACAGTGATAGCACCGTATGAAAAAACAATAGGTTTTACCCTTTCTGACAATAAAACAGGTGTTAAGATGTTCAAACACCAAATGGAAACCTTTTGCAAGGAATCAAGTCTGCATTCACCACACGTACTTGTGGTGAACATGCCGACACACATGCTGATAATATATGCATTGTCTTTGAAACTGATTGGTCTACACCATAAACAGCGTTCTTTAGGGCCTAGTTTCACCAGTGTCAGACCAGAGAACGCCAAAAGGCGAACAATACAAAGACAATGCACCATCAGAATATTTATAGCTCGGGGTGAGCAGCTACAACATGGGACATTTTTGCCAGTATCAAAGTATGAAAAAACACCTGTTTATTGCCAGAAAGGGTAAAAACCTAGTCTTACTTTTTTAAACTTTGATACTGGCAAATAGGCCCCACTAACAGCACAACATATTTTTTTATATTATCTGAAATTAAGGTAGTTTGTGTGGGCGACCAGAAGTTTCGTATGAAAGGACATTTGTATAATTTGGGCAAAGGATATCCCATGTCAGAACAGTGGTAACTCTACAGACACCATTGTCTAAGCTCTCGCATCATTGAACAGCCATTCTTAACAATACTTAAGCCGATTACATCAAAACGAAAAACCGGATTCCAGCAATTACAGTGTGTTACGTAACCCATTACATTATTTATATCACTGTTAGGCCACTGAATGATGGTTCATGACGGTTGCACATTTAGCACTTACACTGCTAAAATACAATTACTATGCACATGGATGTCATAACGTGTTACATATAGCATTTAGGACAGCATGCAGGAATACATGTCTGTATGCTACAAAGTAAAAATTTGCTACACATCCTTAGAGCGATATGAACACTGCACACATTCAAATGCAAGTGCCGAGTGTACACTGTGTGGGTGTATACTGTGCATATAGCACACGTGTGCACTGCCACGTGCAAATCTGCGTAGACTCCACACGTGTGTAAACTATGTGTACTGTCATATGCACATATTGCGTATACCGGCTACACGTATACTGTGTATGCTGGGCACCTAACACCGTGTAAACTGCATACCAGTGTACAGATGTGCACATCTGTGCACTATGTGTGTACACTGTGTGTGTGTAGATTGCACACACATGTGCACTGTGTGTGTACACTGCACACACATGTCCACTGTGTGTGTGTACACTGCACACATGTACACTGTGTGTGTGTACACTGCACACACATGTACACTGTGTGTGTGTGTACACTGGACACACATGTACACTGTGTGTGTGTAGACTGCACACACATGTACACTGTGTGTGTACACTGCACACACATGTACACTGTGTGTGTGTACACTGCACACACATGTCCACTGTGTGTGTGTACACTGGACACACATGTACACTGTGTGTGTGTAGACTGCACACACATGTACACTGTGTGTGTACACTGCACACATGTACACTGTGTGTGTGTACACTGCACACACATGTACACTGTGTGTTTGTGTACACTGGACACACATGTACACTGTGTGTGTGTAGACTGCACACACATGTACACTGTGTGTGTACACTGCACACACATGTACACTGTGTGTGTGTACACTGCACACACATGTCCACTGTGTGTGTGTACACTGGACACACATGTACACTGTGTGTGTGTAGACTGCACACACATGTACACTGTGTGTGTACACTGCACACATGTACACTGTGTGTGTGTACACTGCACACACATGTACACTGTGTGTGTGTAGACTGCACACACATGTCCACTGTGTGCGTGTGTAGACTGCACACACATGTACACTGTGTGTGTACACTGCACACATGTACACTGTGTGTGTGTACACTGCACACACATGTACACTGTGTGTGTGTAGACTGCACACACATGTCCACTGTGTGCGTGTGTAGACTGCACACACATGTCCTCTGTATACCACGCCTGAGTACACACACGGCCACAGCACAGCGAGGAGTAACCCTGCGACAACAACAACCGGAACACGACTCCCGCCTTCACGCTCGCACAATGCAGCAGCGGCCACCGCAGTGCGGAAGCAGCAGCAGCAGGACGCGACATCCATCACCACCATCATCATCACAACCATCACCACCACCACCACCAAACCCCGTCGACATCATCATCATCACCACCACCATCACCACCACCATCATCATCACCACCATCACCACCACCATCATCACCACCACCACCATCATCATTATCACCACCACCATCACCACCACCATCATCACCACCATCACCACCACCATCACCAAACCCCGTCGACATCACCAACACCATCATCACCAACACCATCATCACCAACAACCTGGGCCCCCCCCCGCCCTCCCGGTGTCCCGCCGCGACGGCGGCGGCGACTCACGCGAGCGTGAAGAGCAGCGGCCTCTCGGCGCGGGCCATGGCGCCAGCGCCGCGCGCAGCAGCAGCAGCAGCAGCGCCCCCCGTGGACGACGCTGCGGGGGCACCCCGAGAGGGGGCGGGGCGGGGGGGGCCCAGACCCCCGGGGGGGGGGAGGGAGGTACTCAGACCCCCCCGGGGGGGCGGGGGAGGGGGTGCCCAGACCCCCCGTGGGAGGGGGGTACTCAGACCCCCCCGGGGGGGGGGGAGGGGGTGCCCAGACCCCCCGTGGGAGGGGGGTACTCAGACCCCCCGGGGGGGGGGGGGGGAGGGGGTGCCCAGACCCCCCGTGGGAGGGGGGTACTCAGACCCCCCCGGGGGGGCGGGGGAGGGGGTGCCCAGACCCCCCGTGGGAGGGGGGTACTCAGACCCCCCGGGGGGGGGGGGAGGGGGTGCCCAGACCCCCCGGGGGGGGAGGGGGGTACTCAGACACCCAGGGGGGGGGGGGTTACTAAGACCCCCCCGGGGGAGGGAGGGGGGTCTGCGTACCCCCCTCCCCCCCCCAGGGGGTCTGCGTACCCCCTTCCCCCCCCGGGGGGTCTGGGCACCTCCCCCCCCAGGGGGTCTGAGTACCCCCCCCCCTCCTCCGGGGGGTCTAAGTACCCCGGGGGGTGGAGGGGGGTTACTCAGACCCCCCGTGGAAGGAGGGGTACCTATCAACCCATTATCAGTGCCGACCTCATTACAGACCAACTCAGACCTTATTGGTCACCCCGTGCCCCCTTATACATCTCAACGTTCATCCTACAAAGTGCCATCACAAGGCAGAAACACAAACTAATAGACGCAAGTAATATCTTGATATGTTTTGCCCGAATTGAAACGGCTGTACGCCGTAATGACTCGACAGGTATGCATCACCCTACAAAGATACAGATTGTACACACAAAGGCAAAGGTCTCCCAGGTAGCTGCGCAGACTGTTGGGGAAAGTGCTGTCAGCGAGCACCGATGAAGGGCGGCACGAGGAGGTTGATGAGACCAAAACCACTTCCGGCCGCCTTTGTCTTCCCAGTGCCGTTGTTTGCACGCTGCACCAGGGGCTTGTATAAGAGGATTGAAACACATACCTGTCGACCCATACAGTTTACCCGGAATCTTGTACAAGAAAATTGAGTTTTCAGGTCCATACGGCGTACAGCTGTTTCAATACAGGCCACACATGGGTTTTTTTGTCTATTTGTTTGTGTTTCTCCCTTGTGATGGGACTTTGTAGGATGAACGTTGAGATTTATAAGGGCACGGGGTGACCAATAAGGTCCGAATTGGTCTGTAATGAGGTCGGCACTGACAGGTATGGAAACAAAACAAGCTGAATTTGTTTTTTATTTGCTAGTAAAACGTGGGACCTTGCTTCGGGGTTTTTTTTCTGGATCTTTTACATTTTGTTATATCTTTGTGTCTTCGGGCTCACAACATGGACATCACTCCATATCACTCGGTCTACTTTTCGGATTTTCCAGATGAATGCGACCATCGGGGAATATCGGGGAAGAACAAACCCAATGCAGACTTGTACCATACATAATTGGTGATCCGCTGATTATTATTGCCACGCACGTGAGCACCCAAGTACAACGACCATGGCTTTACAGCTCCCACTGCTGTAAAGCCACTGTGCGTCAATAACCCCCACAACCCCTCCATCACAGTCATGTGCGCTCCTCGACCGTGAAGGAATGTTGTGATGTGCAGTCAGTCAGTCGTCTTCCTATTCTTCGAAGCCAACAGTCCCATTTGTTGCATGGGATCGTCCGGATCAGATTGCTTTCTTCCTGGAGAGTCCATGTGCTTTTTGTTCTGTGCCTCTTTTCATAGTGGCAACCACTGTGCTTACATACAGAGCCATATAGACTTACAATGAGATCCCATAGACTTACATCATCTTCTCAGAAGTCCCATTTGTTGCATGGGGTTGCTTGCTCAGATATTCTTAGTCCATGTACTTCTATGCTGCACCTCTTTGCTAGCTGCATCCATTTCACTCCTGTTTCATTCCACCACATCCTTCAATCTCAATGGCGGTAGTGCTCATGAGTTGATTATGATTTTACAGGGAATTTAACTTAAGAGCTCAATTCAGTACTGCTGTACTGGGAGTCCTGCTTCTCTAACGTTTGACTGAAGCGTGTCCTGCCCAGACAAGCAAGATCCGTTGAGCAGCCCCTGAAATTTAGTATCTGTGGAAAATCGACATTCCCAAGATGGAGGCCAGTCTCTCTATAAGACAATCATTGTTGATCTCCCACAAAGTGGTACTCAATTTAACCACTCATGGAAAGGCTGCATTTGCCCCAAATGTGAATTTTACGAGTACACCCGGACTGTAAACTAACCGTCCACGAAAAGTAATTCGTGGCCCGTGACGCCAATAGAAAGTGTGTGATTCAGTGGCACGTAAACCCGCTCGGGGGTTTTACCCTGGTCCGGTGGGTGTCGACATCAGATCTGGCGGGACAAGAGGCATGTGATTCTTGCCACATCACCCACCCCCCTGCGTATGCCGTGCATGCAGGCCATTAAAATAGGTGCTCGCTGACAGTCCTAACCGTCTAAAAAACTGTTTGTAGCAGGATAAAGGCTACAATAAAGGCATTAAACTGCAGTGTGTACTTCCTCTTCAGCAGCGATCCGGTTATTCGTCACTATGATTCAATAAGAAATGTTGTGTCACTTATACAGTGCTGTCTTGTATTCTTAACCCGAGCTTTTAATGGTTTGATATCGCATTGCTTTTTTGCTGTTCGCCTTTTGGCCTTCTCTGGTCTAACACTGATGACACAAGGCCATAAAGGAGGCTGTCTCTGGTGTAGGTCAATAATTTCCAAGGACAATGAATATATTAAAGCATGTATGTTTGCATATTTACCACAAGCACGTGTGGTGAATGCAGACTTCCTGTCTTGCAATGGGTGTCTATTTAGTGGTTGAACATGCGAACACTTCCTGTAATCTTGCACTGTGACATTTGCATTGTCTGTTTTGTCTAGTTTGTACTGTCTTGTATGTTTGTCTCATCTGTTTTGTCGTACATGTTGTTGTATGTGGAGGGTCTTATAATATTTATTATTTCATGTAATTAATTCTCGCAAGCTCGTTTTATGGGTTTTCTTACATCAATTATAAGAACTTTCACACAATGGTTACCAGGTTCATATATCCGTCCAGTAGTACAGGCTTTTTCAAGAAAGACTCATGAAACAGAAATAAATCACTCGGACATTCAGTACACTACAAATATGAGTATTTAATAGATCAAAGCATCAACTCGTGTCATAACGATATAATCGCCTGCAGGTGCGCGCGCGGTCGCGCCGCCGCGTTGGCATTAGTGGTGGTGTACGCGGGCGTGTGTGGAATAACCCCATGCGGCGGTGAGCCAGCAGTTTTGCCATGTCCCTCAGAGAGGGCGCTAGCCAGAGGTCGCAATCGGGTACCCGATACCCGTACTCTACCCGATACCCGGGTACGGGTACCCGTTTGCGACCCTGGTGCGGCCGGGTACGGGTACGGGTAGGCCGTGAGTCACTGGTGAGTCACCGTTTGTCACTCATTTCCCAATGTCTTGTCTCTTCTCACAATTCAAGTTCCTAGAATCAACCCATCCGCGCCTGCAACATGGCTTCATCCCAGAGGTCGCAATCGGGTACCTGTACCCTTCCCGATACCCGGCCGGGTACGGGTAGCCGGGTATCGGGTAGGGTACGGGTTCCCGATTGCGACCCTGGTGCGGCCGGGTATGGGTAAGGAATCAAAACCCGTTTGCGACCTCTGGCGCTAGCGCGGGGGGGGGGGGGGGGGGGCGATCACCCGGTCGGGGGGGGGGCCCGGTGATCGACGCCTGTAGATGCGGGGGTGGACTTCGCGCCCCACCTGCCCGGCGAGGGTGGTGGGGTGGACGCCGGGCCACACAGCCTCCCTTCCTAGACAATAACTCTGCTGATAGGAATGAAGACCCCGTTTTAATGAACTCAACGTATATGTAGTGTAAAAGAGAGTGATTTATAGACATAAATATTGACTTAAAGCTTTTGTGACTGCAGGAATTCATATTCTTGGGTCTTTCGGTAAAAAGACACTTGTGATGAACATTTATAAATCTAATATTAATTACGTATTAATTATCAAAAAGGGGTACACATCCAACAATGTACTGTGTTGCTTTTATGTTTGCACTCTCTCGTTTGTCCTGCGTCGTTTATGCTCTCGTTTGTGCTGTGTTTTGTATCGTTTGTATGGTCTGCCGTTTTATTTTTTGTCTCCTTTGTATGTTCTCTCGTTTGTATCGTTTGCCACTTTGTAGTCTATCTCGTTTGTATTTTGCTTCGTGTGTATTGTGTCTCATTGTCTCGTTTGTGTTGTTTGTCTCATTTGTATCGTCTCCTTTCTGAGAATTTGTCTGAAATAAAACAAATTTGTTACCATAAATTGTATAGAGAAAAAAAAATACATTCTCGCATAATTCCCATGCGTGTATGGTAAACGTGAGAATAAAACATGATAACAATCGATTCATTGAACAAAAGCCAGTAATTGTAGTGTGTGCAAACGTGCGTGAAATCACGACGCAAACACCTGCCTCCACTCGATCATTTGTTATCGATTGTGTAAAACATTCCCACGCTTGCCAATGACGGCGGCATGAGACCGAGAGACACGTCCCAGATAAGGGCCGTCCATCAATGACGTCACGCGATTTTAGACGATTTTTGACCCCCCCCCCCCCATCGTCACACGGCGTCACAAAAAGTCAGACCCCCCCCCCTCAAATATGACGTCACAAAGCTCTGCCCCCCCCCAAATAAAACACGCTTCAAATTGCTTTAAACTATTGTCCTTGTAGTGCGTATTTAATGTCCCGCTGCACTCTGTTGTAGGAGAAAGCATTGATTAAAAAGTCTATTTAATTAAGTAGAACGTGTTGTCTATATTGATTTAAAGTTGCGCATTTTGATGTGACGTCACATTTCTCAAACCCCCCCTCCCCTTCGTCACACATCATCACAAATATCTGACCCCCCCCCCTAGGTGCGTGACGTCATTTATGGACGCATATA